AGAGGAAACCCATCCGTGCAGATGATGTACTGCGGATGGAGAGGGTGCGGATGAGAAGTGGATCCGACACAGGTGAGCGTTACGGCGGAGAAAACGCGCTAGTGCCGAGCTGGGACCGGCTGGATTCCCAATGTTCAGCGACTCGTAAAGACGCGACAAGTCGACCAATTCCGCTTCGCTGTACTCGCCTTTCTTCTGCTTCTGCTTGCGTCGCATTGCGCAACATGACGAGCATCGACGACCTCTTCAAAAGCGCAAACGGTTCGGCAAAGCGCAAGTTCGAGAACCCAAACGAAGCCGACCCGACCCAATCATACAAATCTGCAAAGCTGGACGCAGATGGCGATGTCAAAGCCCCAGTGCAAGCCTCGGTAGCTGACGAAGATGATGACGACGAGGCTGGTCCCTCGCTACCGCCCGACTTCGAGGACGGACCCGGCGACGACGACGAAGGACGCTTCTTTGGCGATGGCCTGGACGAGAATGCGCGGGACGCCATGGAGTACATCGATGCGCAAGACGGCGATGGAGCTATAGGCGAAGAGAAATACGACGTGCCGTGGGTGCGCAAGCTGGCGCTCAACTTTGAGAAGAAGGTCAACAAGAACGCATCGCTGCGCGCAAAGTACGAGGACGACCCCACCAAGTTCATGGAGTCGGAAGGCGATCTAGACGAAGGCATAAAGGCGCTCAGCATACTGTCGGAGCACCCGGAGCTATACGAAGAGTTTGCGAAAAGCACAGCGGCCTCCAAGTTGGTGGAACTACTGGCGCATGAGAACACAGACATCGCAATCGCAGCGATCGAGATGGTCTCGGAACTCACAGACGAAGACGTTGGAGGGGAGCAAGAACAATGGGATGCGCTCGTCACCGCCTTCATGGAGGCCGACCTGCTCAGCCTGCTCGTATCCAACTTCTCCCGCTTCGATGAGACCGACGAAGCCGACGCATCGGGCGTCTACAACTCCCTCAGCGTCATCGAGAACCTACTATCACAACCCACATACACAGACATAATAGGCAGGGAGACAGCTCTGCTAAAGTGGCTACTGGACAGGATACAGAAGCCCGAGAAACCCACAACACAGAACAAACAATACGCCTCCGAGATCCTCTCCATCCTCACACAGTCCTCGCGACCGAACCGAAACCACGTAGCCGACGCGAACGGTGTCGAAATCTTCCTCACAAACCTCGCGCCGTACCGAAGAGACGACCCAGAAAAGGACAGCAACGAGGAGGAATACATGGAGAACCTGTTCAACTGCCTCTCGTCAGTGACAGAAGAGCCTCTTGGAAAAGCCAAATTCCTAGAAGCAGAAGGTGTAGAGCTCTGTCTCCTCTTCGTCCGCGACGGCAAGACCAGCAAGAGCCGCGCCCTGAAAGTACTAGACCACGCCTGCGGCTACGCAGAAGAAACAACACCACCACAAACCAACGGCAACACAAGCGCAAAAGGCAAAGAAGCCGCAGCAGAAGTTCCCGAAGCCACAAACAGCGCCACAGCCGTCTGCACCAAACTCGTCGACAGCCGCGGCCTGAAACCTCTCTTTAGCACCTTTTCCAAAACGAAAAAGTCCCACGACCCCCAGCAAACCGAACACATACTCGGTATCTTCGCCTCTCTCCTCCGCTCCTTACCCGGAAACTCCGATACCCGTTTCCGCCTCCTAGCCAAGTTCCTCGAGAAGGACTACGACAAGATACACAAACTGGTTGAATTGCGCAGAGGCTACGTTACCCGGTTATCTGCTTTCGATAGCAAGTTAGCAGAGAAGAAGAAGGCGTTGCGGATAAGCGGGAAAGATGAGCTCGAGGCTTTTGAGCTGGAAAATATTCCAGACCGGTTGAGTGAGGGGCTGTATTGTCTGGAAAGGATCGATGCTGTGTTGGCCTGGTTGGTTGCTGAGGATGAGGGTGCAAAGGTGGCTGTTGAGAAGGCACTGGCAGAGAGGGATGAAGGATTGGGAGACGTTAAAAGGACGTTGCAGGCGCAGCTTGACGGCGTGATGGCTGTCGAGCCAGCTGAGAGGGAAATGTTGGAGACGCTTGTAGGGTTTTTGGTGTAGATATATTACGGAAGCAAATGCTATGAGCAAACGCATGGGATGAACGTTTCTGGTATTCAAATATGACTTTTCCATGCGAAGCCCTATAGAGGCACCTACCGAGACCTGAAGACTTCAAGAATATACCATGCAAATGCATCGAAGTCGCCACGCATTTCTGCTCCTCAACCAATGCATATACGCGGAAGCTCCCCATAACAATATGATTCCTTCATTTCACCCATGCTCTAACCCTCCGCCTCAATCTCATAAGCATTGGACTTGTGTTTAGGCTCAAATTTGAAGTTAGGGTGAGCAGGACCCAAGAACATCTCACTGCAAACACGTTAGCCAAAATACCTTCCCACGTCGTAAGTGGAACATACCTGAGCTTGATCCAGTCCGTGTAGTGCTCGCTAGCCATCAACGTCTCCAGGTCATTCCTACCCTTGAACCTCGGGGGACGATCCTGGATGTTCGGGGGCAAGTGTTCCAATAGACCAACCGGCACATAGCGATGCGCAAAGCTCAGCCACTCAAGGAGGAAACGACGAGTCGTGCCAATGCCCATCTCATCAGAACCCCAAGTTTGCAGACCGTACTTGGTAAACTTCTCAATGTAGGAGAGGCGCTCTGATGCGGACTTGTCAAGGTACTGGCCCTTTTCAATCTCTTCAAAGAGCCAGGGTTTGATGAGTGCGCCACGACCGACCATGACAGTGTCAACCTTGGCGTTTTCGAGATGGTTGTAGTAGTCCTCGTGAGAGTAGCAGTCACCGTTGCCGACAAAGTAGACATGGCCGCCGTTTGCGAGGTCACGGGGATCAGCTTCGGCGGCGGTATCTGTTTTGACCGCTTGTTCTTTGCGGAGTCGGTTGATGAGGGCGGAGCATTCGGCGATGTAGGACCAGTCTGCGCTTCGAGAGTATCGCTGTTGCTTACTCCTGCCGTGGAGGGTAATGGCTGCGATACCCGAGAGACCCTTCCCAGACTCTACGGCTTCGTGGCCGCCAAGTACGAGGCGCTTAATGAGTTTTTGCGCGGTCGGGTGGTTGTCCTTGGTACCCATGCGGATCTTGACGGTGATGGGGACCTCCTTGGATACATAGGTCATTCCACGGAGGATACTCTCCAGTTTTGCCTCGCTATCGAGTAGTGCGGAACCACTTCCCTTCTCACAGACGAGGTTGATGGGGCATCCGCAGTTGAGATCGATAGCGCGCAGCCTCGGGCAGTATTCAGTCAGTACTTCAACCGTCTTGGTGGCCAGCCATGGCTTGTTCGCCGCGATTTGTGCGCCGAACTTGAGATCAGTCGAGTTGTCGTAGCCCTGGACCACAGTGTTCTTGCCCAAGAACTTTGGAGGGGTTACCTCAGATTCGTGGGCTTTGAGAAGCGGCCACTCGCCCTTGTCACCTTGGATCAATGGCATACCCATGGCCATCTCACTCCAAGTCACTTGGCAGCCAAAATCCACGCAGAGCCGGCGGTACGGCATGTTGCCTTGAGTGGTGAGGGGTGCGAGCATTGGTGTCTCGGGTCCGTAGTAGAGCCTGCGCTTCTCTGACGGCCTGAAGGGCGCCTCCACAAACTCGGCTCTGCGCGCCTCCTTCTCCTCCTTGAGAGCGTCCATGTCCATCTGAGCTGCATCGAACATTTCTCTTTCGTTGCGAGCATTGGTCTCGATCCATTGCAGGTACTGGTCAGAGCGCGGGGTTCCAATCTTCCGTCTCGATAAACCAATTTTGATATCCTTTGGCACAATGTTGACCACTTCAGCCTCTGCTTCTTCGTCGAAGCTGGAGAACTTGGATTTCCGGTCGGCATCTTCTTTCAGGACTAATTCTTTCCGGCCGTCTTCTAGGGTGCGCTCTTCGGAATGGCTACCGACGAACCGACACTTCCAGCCGAAGTGGCAGAATCCCTTGACAGCATAGACTGGACATTGGCCATCAAAGGTAGTAAGATCTTCTCGTCGGCCTTCCTTCAGGTACTTGCGGATATCGTGTTCGAACTTGCACTTCTCGCCAAACGGACACTCCTTGGGTGAGAATTCATTGTAGGCTGCGCGAGTACCACAGAGCGGTATCTTGTCGCGCGAGCTGCCGAAAGTGCGGCTGGTGTTTTGGCCCTTTTGCTTTTTGTCTTTCTTGTTGTTCTTGCCCTTTCTGGGGCCATCGCGAGCATCAGTCTTTGGTAGGCCTTCAGATTTGTGCTCAGCATCAGCGCCCTCGGCTGCATCGTCGTCAATGACTCTGTCCTTGGTCGCGGCCTTGTTGTTATCCAGTCGTATCAGGAATCTGGTGTTCTTAGCACGCGAGTTACTTCAAGTGGGTGGCGCATATACTCTGCCTTGATGGGTGCGACACCCTTGACTCGCTTCACAGAAGTATCCGCATCCTCGATGTCTTGACTGCTAGTCCTGTTCCTCTTCTTGGGGCTCGCAGGTGGTTCGGACTGCACATTGACTGTATCATTGCCGCCATTGATGCCATTGGAGCCCTCGCCGTCTGGGGCCGAATGCTCGGACTCGAGCTTGGTTCCCTCACCTGTCGTCATTTCATGCAAGCAAGGCGGCCAGGCTGAGAATAGGCGTGCGTGGTTGGCGTTGTTGCTCAAAAGAGAAAAGCACTCGCTCAAATTGTGAGGGCAAATGCGGCTAGAAGAGGCTAGACCGGCGGCCCATGCGCTAGTGAGCAAGTTGGGAAAGCTGCGATCATACGTCACAGCCAGGCACTTGCGGCTCCCCTACATCACATCGCGTTTCCCGTTCCCACTTTCACATCAACCCTCCTGCAATCCTTTCCGGCCCTCCGCACGATTCTCATCTTCCTGCTGGTTCTTTGCACGCACACGCAAGCCAGCTCCTCCCAGATCCATTGTTGATCCAGCTCAACCCCGCTCCCACACAAACACACACACACCAGACAATAATACCACGTAGCCATCATGACGCTCTACTACAGTCTGGTAAGCAGCCCCTCTCCTTGCAGGAAAGCAGCGATCGAGAGAGATGCCAATGGTGTCGTCTCGTCACTGCTCGCGTGCTCGTCTACGCGCCTTACGTTACAACCGCGTATGTGGCCTTTGTGCTAACTCTTCATCTTCTAGGTCTTCCTCCTCCTGGTGACGGAGATGCTCATCTTCTGCGCCCTCATCGTCCCTCTGCCCTTCACATGGCGCCGCAAGCTCTTCACCTTCATTTCGGAGAGCCCTATAATAGCAAAGCTGCAATATGGCATGAAGGTATGGGAGTCAATGTATTCACGTGGAGGACCCGTCTGACATGCGTAGATTACGTTCATCTTCATCCTGATCCTGTTCATTGACAGTGTCAACCGCGTATACCGCGTGCAGATTGAGCTCTCTGGCTCAGACGACCAGGGTCGTGGATCGTAAGTTAAAGCATCCCACCTACAAAGTGCTGTACTAACGACACAAGAAGCGTTGCTGCTGGAGGCATCGAGCGCATGGAGGTCCAGGCCCGCAAGTTCTACTCGCAGCGCAACATGTACCTTTGCGGTTTCACCCTCTTCCTGTCGCTCATCCTCAACCGTACCTACGTCATGATCCTCGATGTTCTCCGTCTCGAGGAGGAGGTCAAGACCCTCAAGGGCGACCCCAGCACCAAGAAGGGCTCTTCGCTGAAGAACGTTGGTGGTGCTGGCGAGGTTGGAGCTCTCAAGGAGGAGCTTGCTGCCAAGGACCGCGACATGGCGAACCTGAAGAAGCAGGTTGAGAACATGCAGAAGGAGTACAACCGCATGGGCGATCAGGTCTCTGGCAAGCAGTAGACGCGTACGAATGGCTTCGAACGGACACGGAATGCAGGCTACGGCTATCCTGTAGGACGGCAGGCGCACGCCCGGGAGAGGTCGTCACTACAATTATACTTTCAAAGTTGAAGTTTCAAGGGCTCTATGCTGGTGGATGCCACGCATACGACTATTTTATCTTTGTCCTCTGGGTGTTGCGGTGTGGTAACTAGTTTTGAGGGGGAAGGAGAGCTACAGTGCTGACGTAACTTTCGCATATGGCTCAGCAGCAATAGACAGTAAACACGATTGAATTCATATGCTCTTTGATCAGTATCGGACCTTGTTCGGAAAGCTTCTTCTGTTGTTGCTTACGTTGGGACCTTCGGACGTCTTGGACCTCGGGAGCTTGCGCGATGACAAAACACCCCAACTAGTAGCATGTGAAAGCTAGCGCAGTGCTTCATGTATCCCGAGCACTTGAGGCTTATCAAGATTCCGCATAAAGGCAGTGGAGGAGCATACAAGCGTTTACCAGTGTTACCAAAGGCCCAATTGCATATCGCTTCAGCTTCACTTGCCATTGGTTCCGTGCAGCCACAGCCAAGATGTCGGGAAGCAGCCAGACATCCCCGCGCTTCTTCAACTATCCGCGCCCCAAACCTCACGACGCGCCATACAAGGCCCCGCCGCCCGGAAAGAACCCCGTAGTCAAGGGCGCCTTGCTGCACTATCTTTCCAATCTGTCAGTCAATTCAACATTCTTTTGTCACCAAGCTAACAGCTCCAGAGTCGCGACTGTACCGCTAGTCCCTGGCATCCTGTGGAGCAATGCCGGCTTCAGCTCCTTGCGAGAATGCAGGCAACTCGACGGCATCGACCCGCGCTATGATCCCACCGTAATCCCGTTGCCTGAATCCGACGATGTTCCCGTCAGCTACACCGATAAATCCAACTTTCGCGCATCGTCCCTGCGCGCGTCCTCCAACCGATTCTACACGATCAAAGACTTCCACGATGCCTACTCGAGCGGCGCACTTACACCGACCGACGTAGTAGAACACCTCCTGCCCCTCATACGCAGAGATGTCGCACAGCGCTCGCCCTATTCGACGGCCTTCATGGACAGCAAAGTGGACATGATCAGACAAGCTGCCGAAGCCTCCACGCAACGGTATAAGCAGGGGCAGCCATTGGGTATACTGGATGGCGTGCCGTTCGGAGTCAAGGACGACCTTAAGGTCACGGGATACAAGCATTATGTCGGCACCACTTACGACTACAGCCATGGAGGAAATAAGGAAACGAGCTGGTGTGCGAAGATGCTTGAGAAGGAAGGCGCGGTCTTGGTCGGCACGCTGACTATGCATGAGATGGGAATGGGTGAGTGGAAGCGTCGGTTCTGTGTTTTCATGGAAGATACTGACTGGTCTAGATACCACAAACAACAACCCTAACTGGGGCACACCGCGGAACCCATACAACAGTTCATACTACCCAGGAGGCTCATCGGGAGGCGCTGCGTCTGCAGTAGGGCATGGCCTCATACCCTTTGCTATTGGATCAGATGGAGGCGGCTCAGTCCGAATCCCCAGCAACTACTGCGGTCTATATGGTCTGAAGCCATCGCACTCCCGTGTCTCCGTCGCGCCCATGCCAGACGCCGGGAAATCCGTCACCGTTCGCGGGCCCCTCGCGAGCAACATGTCAGATCTCGAGATCGCATACCGCGTCCTTGCACAGCCCGACCCATCAACATACCCCTCATCAGAATTCAACCCACCCAAGAAGCACACTGGGCCTCGAAACAAAGTACTAGGTGTATACAAAGCCTGGATCGACCGCGCAGACCCTTCAGTACAGGAGGCCTGTCAATCAGCCCTGCGGTACTTTGAGTCAGAACTGGGATACCAAATTGTTGATATCAGCATCCCGCTGCTGACAGAGGGTCAACTTGCCCACGCAATGACTATCATGGCCGAAGGCGCAGCAGGACACAGGACGTCCATATACGACCTCACACCCGCCAACAGGATTCTCATGAGTGTGGCGAAACAAACCCCAGCAACTGACTTCCTCTTAGCCCAGCGTCTGCGGAACGTTCTCATGGAACATCTTGCCGACCTTTTCCGCAAACATCCTGGTCTCATAATTGTCACGCCTACGACGCCGAATGCGGGCTGGCCTATTGATGAAGCCGAACTTTCACATGGGGTGACGAACGGCAATATGCAAATCAGGAACATGGAGTATGTTTGGCTGGCGAACTTCACAGGGATCCCATGCATACAATTCCCTATTGCATATGTGGACGGCGTGAAGGGCACTGGCAAGGTCCCGATCGGGCTGAGTGGGAACGGAGAGTGGGGAAGTGAAGATGCGCTGATTGAGTTTGGGTTTGATGGAGAGCAGTGGCTGCTTAATGGATATAAGGATGGGAAGGTCATGCCAGAAGGATGGGTGGATGTCATGAAAGCTTAGGAGAGTGTGAATAAACACCGGTTCTGACGGTACTCTATCTCACTGATCCAAGGAATTGTTGTGATTATCTCACTGCCTCCAGTAGCCGGTGTTGATGCTTGGTATACTAGAATATGGGCGTGAATTCACACTACCCTGATGCCTAGCAGTCAAGAAGTCTGGTGGACGAAAGGATCAAGAAGATTTTCAAGTTCGCGATATGGTCAACCGATATCTTGCCGCAGCCTATGTGTAAAAATTCCGGCTTCGGTGCGGGTGTAGCATCCAAGGCATCGACGATGTGGCATACTCCATTACCACTTTTTACATCAGTCAAAGGTAGGTACAAGTCTCCAATGCCCGGATCGGAGGGAAATGACTCGGACCATGCATATACAGCATCGTGGATCAGACGATGACCAGACAAGCTCATGTGCGGACACGTACACCTAGTCACCACACTTCATCTGCAACAACCCGTTGGCGACTGCAGGAGACCGTGTCAACTGCGGGTCTGTAGTGCCTTGCTCAGATCTACAGAAGAGGAAGTCGACGAGACCAAAGTGGAAAGTTTCGAGAGCTCCATGGAAGCATACGTGTTCAGCTCCGCAAGCACAGTACCGAGATTGACATGAATGCCGGCGCATGTGAGCGGTTGTTATCAAGGTATTTGCGTGTCGTCGGAGTACCAGGGCAAGATGGGGAAGTCGTGATGCAAGGCTGATAAAGATCGTCGGCGTGTTCCCCTCACCGCACCGATACCGAAGATGAAGAACAACAACAATACAACGTGCCCACCGAGCGCGATGGCCTGCCTTTGGCTTGAGCTCATGAGCTTGTCAATCCCAATATTATCGATAGCAACTAGCACTCCCACCTATTTCGCTTCAAGGTTGCTAAGTTGATGTCGCGGAACCCCCTCCCCGAGCGCAGGGCGGCCAATTTCGCCCCCACGAATCATAATATCCGCACCTTAATCTCCCATTTCCCTCGAGGGGTTCCGCACCAATCATGGCATGCAAGAAGCTGCGGACCAACACCCGAGTCGAGCATGGTAGAGAGTTTCAAGATTTATTCCCATAACCTTCCTCCACCTTGCACTTGCCTTACGTCCTTCCTTCCGGTAACAACTCGGCAAGTGCGATGGATGCACATGTGAGCCTTCCCACGGCAGAGCAGAGTGGAGTGCACCTGCATTACCGCAGCGTGGGCTTAGCGCACAAGTCAGACACACGAGATCTGTGACACGACGTTGCAACGGCGAATCGCACACTAGAGGCTTGTGTATGATTGATGATTGCATCGCGTGGGCGCCCACGCGCTAAAGCGGAACGTAGGCAAGCAAGCGAGAGGCGCAAGAGAAGAAAAAAACAGCATGAGTCGTTAGATTTGCGCGTGATGGATTAGAGTTCTTTGGTGCTTTAGTTCATCGTGGGCAGTCCGATCGCTTTCGCTTGGATGCAAGCGGAGAGAAACAAGAAAGCGTCAAAGTAGGAACAACGGAGAGCGGAGACGGGCGTGCGTTACCAGCGAGGTGGGTGTTGTCTGCGTGGTTTTCTTAGTTCAGTCAAGCTTAGTGTGGCGGCTGTCAGTTTTCCTTGTCTTGCGTGCTTTGGGTTGGAGCATGGTCCGACAAAGAGAGGGGCAGCGGTGCGGGTCTGCTCGAACAGTTTTTCTTGCGTTGCGGCAGCCTTGTCATGTTCCTTCGTGGAGCCTTGGACGGGTCATCTGCTACGCAGCTCACCGTATCTGGCATGGGCATGCAGGGTCCTGCCTGTTTCGATGCTAGATTGGGCATACATGCACTGGCACACATGCAGTCATGGAGTTGTCATCTACATTGGAAGATGATGATGGCAATGTTGGGCGGCAGGAACAAAACGGTTGTGCGACGGTTCTGTGCATGAATAACCATTGTGCTTATTCGCTCGTGCAAACCATGTTACTTCTAATTTTCTCTCAAATAAGATGAAGCCTTACATAGCGCCGAGTATCAGACAAAGCACCGATACTTCAGCTATAGGCTGGAAGAGGTTGATTCAACTCTTCCATTGGTAGCAAAAACAAAGGGGGCTTGGGTACCGTACAGAATCCTGCCATGGTATAGAATGGAAACAAACAGGAACTCCTATAACACCGTAGTCGCCATGGCCCCGTAAAGTGGTCGGGTGAAAGTGTAAAGTTATTGTAATGTAAAACCCAATGGTCAAGGGCGCAATGTGCCGTGGTATAATCGCAAAATCGAGTGCGACAACACTGAGCCAGCGGTGCCGAGTTCAAATGGTTGTCGGAAGGGTGGTAAGACAGAAGCTGTATGCTGAATCGAAGTGTAATGACGAACGCCGGTTCCCCAATCCTGTGCCGCTATGCAGATGCTCATAAACGCGGTATCAACGTGCGTGTTTCGTGTATTGGAAGGAGGTGGTGATGATCAGTATGTGAGACAGTAGACCATCATGATTGCGTGGTAGTAGGGGTTCGAGAGCCGAGTGGCGTCCATGATGAGTCGGGGCCTGGGAGGAATGCCGACGTAGTGGAGGCTCACCGCGCCTGTGGGTAGGAGTACGAGGACTGATTGTTATTTGATAACCCTGCCCTTGCCCTTGACTTTGGACGCTTTGCCAGCGCCGGTGGAGGTGAGCTTGCTGGTCTGCATCAGCTCGCCAATATATCTGCGCGCCGTTAGCCAGTCGTCACAATGGAGATGCGGAGAGTACTTACGATTGGAGAAACTTGTTGCCGCCCTCGAGCTTCTCGTGTTCGTTCTTGACGACCTCGACGCGGTCGACAATCTGCATGAGGCTGGCTTGGAGGGCTTTTGCTTGTCTAGCGAAACGGTTAGTCTGGTAAGGGCTGGGACGAAAGTCAAAAACGCGCACACAAACGAGAGAGGTAGCACAGTGGGCGACAGCGACACCGAGGGGGGTCGCAGCGTTGCATGCCACGTACGTGGAGATGCAGGGTTGAGTTACTTACTCTATCAGAGCTTGGCGAGCATCCTGGCCCATCTTCTCAATCTCTTCGCTACTCCGGCGAGGGCTCATGGTGCGCGCATCGCCGTCGTCGTACTCCTCCTCTTCCTCCTTCATCTCGACGTTGGGGCTGTCGCGGGGTATTATGATGGTGCCGCTCGACTTTCTGCTCCCTAGCCGGGGCCGGGCCTGTAGTGTGGGGTCGTTCTTCATCTCCTGGTCGCTGATGGAAGAGTTGGAGGAGGAAGTCGACATGTCGTCGGGGTAGGAGGGGCGGCGGTCGTCTTGCGTTGAAGTAGACGGGTAGGAGGTGATGGAAATGTGCGGGTTCATGGCACGAGACAGTATAGTGCGGCTCTCAGAGTGTAGGTTAGGGATGGAGCCAGGTGGGCGAGCGTCGGCAAGAGTATGCCGTGGGTGGATTCAGGCCAAGATAAAGCCACACGGTTGATGTGGAAGGATGTTAGAGTGGGTGGGCCCCTGTCCGCGCTAAGCCAGATAATGCTTCAGGGTCTCCCGAGACGAGGATCCCTGCGCGCGGGCGTCGAATGTGCACGCAGCGAGCGCTCCTAGCAGACAGCTCGGGGTGGCGGCGGCGGCAGCAGGCAATAGCGCTCTCGTATGGCTACCAGCGGCGTCTACTCACGAGATGACTGTGACTGTGTCTGTGTTTTGTTGTCGACACGCAGGCAAGGTTTGCGTTGCTGATCGGCAAGGGCAAAAGCACCCACCAGAGGCGCGGATGATTAGAAGCGGTCAATTAGCGCTGCGATGGCCGAACAGCTATTGCCAGGCCTGCGAGAGGGCAACTGGGGCGTGTTGGCGAATGTGGTGCGGGCAGTGGATGAGCGCAGCGTGGACCGTGTCGTCGGCGTGATTCAGGGCGTGCGCGCGGGCGAGGGGGTTGAAGACGTCGCTGCGGCGCTGCGACTGCAGAGGTCATGATGGAGGCCGAAAGCGGTGCATGACGTCGCCGGCCGCTGTGAGACATGGGAGAGCTGATCACTTGCCCCATTCCGCCACGTCCCACCGCACACTGAGCACGGCTGCGCGTTGCGGGCGGCTGACATCACTGAACACTGCCGTGGGTTCCGTCAACCGCCAATGGCGTCGTCGCTGACGTCTCTGCGCGTGTGCTGCGGGCGGCGACGACGGTGCCTGCGTCCAACGTTGAAAGTCACGATGCGAGCGGGCAGCCTCATCGCTGCGTGCACCCAGACAGCAGTGCATCACCACCACGCTGTCTCCGCCCAAACTACCTAGGTACTGTACCCACAGCGCACAGCGACGCGTTACAGACCGACTGACTGCGGGTCATGCTGTCCATGCGCACATCACCAGCCGCTCGTGTTGGGCGTGGTTGCTGATCCCTCTTTGTGAGCCATCCGTTTCGTCGAGCTTGCGCACCAGAAATATATAAGATCGGCTAAGGGGACCCTGCGGCGGCGGCGTTGGCCTGCCATTTTGGCTTGCATGGTATTTTGTAGATTGCCGTTGCCACCAATCCTCGCCCGTTGGCACCACCAGCACGCACACAGCCAGCGCCCGGCACACACAAAAGCCCTTTTCGCGCCTCGTCTCCAGCCCCTCACACTCCCTCGCGAGCGCCATAGACCCTTAGATCTCGTGTGCGTTGACTCCGCACTATGCCATGACCAATGACGAAATTCTCGTTTGATCAGTACGTCACCCTGGCCGCTGAGCAACCGCTCACGGTGCTTCTATTCGACCTTTGCGCGCCGGGCCAAGAGCTTCTTTTCGTGCAATATGACAGCCGTGATTCTGTCATAAGTGCATGGGACATTTCCCGCCTCCGCCGCGACTCTGTCGCACTTTGTCCAATCCGTACTTCTCCTGCATTGGACAACGGCGATCTCCAGGATCATGACGTTGAACGTTCCAACGTGAGAAAACATATTCATCTGAGTGGCCTACCGCTTCCCCATTATCAATAAGTTGTTTCAGCGCGCATAGCTCCACCTCGCCGGTACGATCCGCATCTCGCTAGGTTGCGACTTGCGCTGGGTGAGCTTTCTGAAGCATCCAAAGGTCACCGCTGTTCTGCCTCGCGACGATCCTTCGGGAACACGGCTGCTTGGGGCAAGACTGAGGAACGAGTGTCATTTTCCCGCGGGTGTTCGAGTAGGACCGGCTGATGCCGGCCTTGCAACTACTATCTTTGCTTTATTCGGTCCGGCCTTGCGCAGCATGCTTCACCACGCGTCTACATACCTTGCCAGCGTGCCACTGCTGTTTTCAGTCGGCGACGATCCGCACGGGGTTTCAAGGCGACACACATGCTCTGTAACGTGAGAGCGACAGGCCGACGCGCCTGCAAGACATCATGACAATTAACATTTCTGCGCGACTCGCATGGGAGTGTGACTGCATCACACTGTCCTTCCACTGGGATACCGTTTGCTTTGCTTTGCTTTGACTTCCTTCTGCAAAACTTTCTACTCCAACGTCTCCAACATCTCCGACATCTCCAACTCAACAAAACCGTCACCACAGCTCGCTTATTTCACTCAATCAATCGGTTTGCATGCTGCTAGCACTCTTCCCGTTGTCTCTGCATCATCGCTGGTCCGGCAATTCGCTGTAGGGTGTCCACTTTTCGTTCTTCGGTGGTTCTCCAGCAGATGGTACCTGAGTCATGCTCTTGCTGTCCAGGGTCCACCTGGTACACGCAACCAATACACTTGTATCGGTCCGACACCTCACTTGATATTTCAGAACAAGGCTACATCAATCACGACACTTCGATCATGGAAGGCTGCCGAACCCAGTAATCAATCGCTGCCGAACCAAGTCACAACATGCCGCTGTTGCGCCGGCGTGCGAGCAATTGTGGAGCTGCGGTTTATATGTCCGGTAGGGCTGCATTCGGAGACAGTGCGGCGATTTGTGTTGCAGAGTGACGCCGCTGGGATGTGGTGATGTAACTCGCAAAGGACGCCTGGTATGCATCACGGGGCATGAAGAGCTGGACGCGAGGCACCGACAAATTCGCCGGTGGTGGATTCCGACAACCACGCGTCCCTATAACATGCGATATATACCTATTAGACCTGGCCTCTGGAAGAAACAGTATCCAGATGCCTCTGTGCACTGGACGAAAACTGCCTTCAACTCCGGCGTGCGAGGTCTATATATATCTACTTTGGAAACGCCAATTTCCCTTCACTGGATATAAAAGGTGACCGTCATTCGAAGAGACAGTCATCAGATACGGTGTAGGTAGATCATTGAACACACCGACACCAGAGATATGTATGAAGCGCTGCCATATCGATTAGCAGTCTTTCCCCACTTGATTCGGATGTGGCAGTTCCAGACCAGATTGTTGGGGATTCCCCGGATCCCCTGCGGCCACAAACATAGTTTTCTGAAGATCATCGTTGCCCATCTCCGTGGCCGAGGAGTCAAGACCATATCAGAACTTAATGAGGCAACTAAAGCGCGGACGCGAGGTCCCGACAAACTCTTTAGATTCTCTTATTGATCGCCATTTATCAACGATCTTCGGAGAACATTGGTCTGAGAAATCGGCGATCGATCTGCAGTTGCGTGAATGTAGTTGACCGCAATCTCCAGATAAGGGTTCGTGGAGACAATCCGGTGTTGAGGCATTAAGCCTCACCCTCATCTAGCCTTCCCGCCTCATATCAAGCCCTGAAGGTACATCAACCATGTTCATGCGATTGCGATTCAAAGTCAGGAACAATCAGCTGCCATGCGTCCCAGCTGTTCGCAGCTATGCTATTGTACACGACGACGCATGCATTAATCTTTTTGTATCTTATGCGTGATGAGTCAAAACATGACCATAGTGCACGAAAAACAGTTCGTCCGCAGTACACGTTCCTCGACTCAAGAGCGTGAGCGGAATGCGAAACGCCCATGTGGACGATATGGTCCAGGATACCGTGTTGGACAGCCCTCGGCATTGCGTCACTGCCAACTCCAACTCCTGGCCCAAGCTCAAGCTGTCTCTTAACAATCTGGACGCGAAAACTCCAGTGTAGCGACAGCGACGCGTAGTGAAGCGGTGATTTGTTTGCAGAACGTCCATCGCACCTACCTCATTAGACCTGGACTTTGCACGTTGCTGAGTAAGAGCTCGCAGCTACCCCACCATGCACGGCATCCTCGAGCTGTCGCTGCAGCTCCTCAACTCGTTTAGCCCGGCCAATCTCGGTGCGTACGCCTCATCCACTAGCCACCTACTGTTGCTGTGGCTTAAATTAACAGTCACTAATTATGAACAGGACGATCTGGGCCTCAAGTACCTCTTCAAGGCGAACAGGATGTGAAGTGTAGGTACTCCCTAATCTTACTGGTTAGGCCAGCAGATTGAAGCAGCAACTAACAATCGCACAGCAATACCAACAAAGTCATCTGTTCCAGACTACTTTGTCACGGACGATGGACACTTCCAAGGTCCTACCAAGACGGGCGCTGCACCGTTCATGGCGCAGACAAACCTAGCACCTTTTGCCGGCGTGTCATACATTCCAAATACGCCTCTGGAAACACAAATCCCCATTGCTGGCAATGCGGAAAACAAGAACATATTCCAAAGTATGGCAAACATCAGCCCTTACTTTCCTAATCCCCGAGGCTTCGGAGTAAACGAGTACTCTATACCGCCTGGCACCAACGTAACATGGCTCAACATGGTCCATCGCCATGGAAGTCGGTACCCCGAAGTCAGTGGTGAAGCTGCAGAGCGGACTTTAGGGAAGAAGCTCACGGACGCGGCTGGTAAGTTCACAGGTCACGGACCCCTTTCGTTCCTCAACGATTGGCAGTTCCTACTGGGTGCTGAGATCCTCGTTCCCAATGGCAAGCAAGAGCTATTTACTTCTGGTACTCTGCACTACTACCAGTATGGCCATTTATATCCCAACAATGGAAGCAAGGTTATCGTCCGGAGTACGACCCAACGACGCATGACCGAGTCGGCGGAGTACTTCCTTGCCGGCTTTTTCGGTCTAGGCTGGGCGCAAAATGCAACGCTTGAGCTGGCAATTGAGGCGCCTGGTTTCAACAATACGCTTGCTGGCTACAAGCAGTGCAACCATTCGAGTTGGCCGACGGCGCGACAAGGGCTCATGGAATGGATCGGCGTGTACCTTCATGATGCTCATCAGAGGTTCAGAAGCAATATCACCGGTGACCTTGACTGGACAATCACCGATACATACAACGCTCAAGCTTTGTGTTCGTACGAGACAATTTCGCTTGGCTTCTCTCACTGGTGCGGCCTGTTTACCTACGAGGAGTGGGAAGGCTACGAGTACGCCCTGGATCTTTCATTCCAGGCAGGC